AGGATGGCGTTCGAGCGGAAAATACATGGAATCTATCTCCATGACGGCTAGATGGCGACTGGAGTTTGTTCGGGACGTTTGCATATACGTCACTCAGCTTTAATGGAAATATTGCAGGCTGCCTTTTGTAGCCTGGCAGCAGTCCGGTCTGTAGACCTTATGAAATTCATGCCATACATTTGCTACTTTTTTTATGCCGTGCAATATGGCCCTTGTTTTTCGTTCTTGGTGGCTTGAACGACGGTTCTCATATGTCTTATGGCAATCGCCATCTTGACCTCGGTGCTTTTCTACCATTGGCTGTATAGGGTATGGCCGCAGCGAAAGCAGAGTTGATGGATCTCGTTCATCCATGACCAGTCGGCGCTATCCAAATCCCAACAGCCCGCGTGTTGTAAGAAGACTTGACATCTCGTGGCTTCGTGTTCCATGCATATCGGCCAAGCTCTCGTCGAGATCACCTGAACAACGTTCACCGCCTCCGAAACAGCGTGTGGCGGGGTGAATCATGACTATTCTTCCTGCGGTTTCTACTACTTTGCCATGAGCAGACGGACGGGTGCTGGCGCTGTAGATTTGTATGCTGGAAAGATCTGCAGGAGGTCCTCGTCACCACTCACTCGCCTCTATCGCCACAAGATTCGCAAAATCGGAGGCTGGGGAGGATAGAAATCTCGTCCTATCCATACTGCAGGTATGATCTTAGTACACCAACAGAGAGGTTTTGCTTGAAGACGAGGAGCAGGCCTGATCCTTAATATTGTTCTCTTTGTTGGATGGACGTAATACGGGTGACTGGAAGGAAACGGGTTAGAGAAGGTCACTTCTGAAGGGATGGTTTGTACCATATGCAAGCCCGTAAAGAGTACTCGTGATTTTACTTCTGGCTAGGGCATGGAGACTGCGATGTCAGGAAACAATGCACCACAGCGCTCCCCCCCCCCCCCCCCCCCCCCCCCCCCCCCCCCCCCCCCCCCCATCACCACCGCAAACACCCAGACACACCCCCTCAAACCAATAAAAAAAAAACACAAAACCACAACACGCGCACGAAGCACACAAAACAGAAAAAAAAACACACACCACCACACACACCCACCCCCCCCCCCCCCCCGTGTCGTCATAGCCTAGTTCATGAAGGAAAGCCTGACAGTATCACAGTCTAGTAAAAGTTTCACAAAGCATCACGGGACCGTGACGCCGGAAAGACGAACAAGGCTCAAGTTCAACCTTAACCTCGACCTCCAGCATGCTCGCACATTACCAACTGCCCGATCAGGGCCGAGGAAGATAGGCTACCTACCCTACCTACCTACTGACCTGCCTGCATACTTCCACCTCCGCCGAGTTCCTCCACGAATTTGGCCTAGACCCCCGCGACTCTCGCATAGACGTCTCCAAGTACAACTAGCTGCAGACGGGATAAACTCATCCGAACCGGGCGTGATAACAGAGGTTCAGGCGAACCACGGGCATCTCATTCCCGTTCGAAAAGAGAGAAAGGGAAAGGACGTTCATTGGAGATGGTCCAGGGGCGGGCCGTGCTGGAGCCCATGGTGTAAGCTTACGATAGCAAGAGCGGTAAGATGTTGGAAATCCACACAATCATGAGGCCAAACTCTGCTCTTATCTCTCAATCTCTCGAGCTTTCCCCCCTCGGATATTGTTTCTTCTCCCTGCGGCTTCTCGTTGGGTCAAAGAAAACAACAGCTCGAAGCAGAAATCCCCTCGCGCGGTATGACATCCCCCGGCCGTGCACTTGCAGACGCACGCACAACCCGCACGGGGTCCCGGGCGTCTGTCCACCCATCTCACCACGCCATTCATCCCGGGCTTAGATGGTCAGGCACATCGAGGGAGTAATGGATGATATTAGCTGCATGGGAAAACAAAAAAAGGTAAAAGGCCAAGAAGCTACAGCATCGTATGAGCAAGCTTTTAAGCTAGGTGGAAGGGGCCGAATGGAAACAACAAGGTGATAGGGGTGCTTGTTACAGTATATTCTGGATTGAGTTTCGGTGAAGCTTCACGCCTGAGAGTAGAGCGCCGAAGAAGGTCCTATTGGTGGTGTAAGACAACTTTACATATCTCGCGGTACTGCTCTGTATTGGTGGAGGAGAGATTTTGCAATCTCTTGCTTGGCATGATAGAGACCGGGCTTGCGGAAGACGTCACCAGAAATCGACAAGTATCATCAGCATGGCCGAGCTGGCTTAGATCCTCGTTGAGGAGGCGGCAGATCTTCTTCACTGGATGCTCGTACACGCGTATAAACCACGACAAATCCTGTTCGGGATACGTCAAGCGAAAGGCAGCCGAGTGATACTTCACATAGACGGCAGGTCTCAAATCGCATACCGGGCCTCTTGAAAATGCAATGCTCTGTGAAGCCACTCGAGCAGTGGCGACCTCTTCAACTGAGAGCAGGGTTGCGAGAGCAATCTGTAACCCCAGCTACCTTATACTATGCTTGGTCGTCAAAGGGGACTGCGCATGCTATTTCTGGACGGGCAGACCGTTGGTCCGTACAACTCATTGGCCCGCAAGACCGTCTGCCGTGTGCCGAATCCGAGTCCAAAATACCTGATTTGACCGGGGACAGTGGTGTCCCGCGGGAAGAGCCGCCACGGTTTGCCACTCCGAGGAAGGCCGACAAAGACTAAAAGAAGAGCGCCTTCTGCAAGGGCCGAGGAGGACGCGTCCTGGTGGTCTGGTGTTGCATCGTGGACCAAGGCCATGCGAGAGATCCCTTCTCCCTGCGCCAAGTCAGCCGTTCGCTACCAAGAGTCGACCACCGAACGGCAGTGGCACTTGGTGTCCTTCCTAGAGCCCGCGAGTCGGCGGCGGAAGATCGGCGCTACGGAATGGTGTGAACGGGACTTTGCATGCCGGCTGTCTTTCTGTGATTGTTTCGGCCTGATTTCGAGGTGTAAGTATGGGTGGTGAAGAGGTGTAGCCTGTCTTTCCGAAATTGCTTTTTTAAGGCACTGACGAGAGAACGATTGGCGTCCATTGGCCGAATACAGCTTGTTCTACTGAGTCTGCCCGTTCACTCTGGTACTGTTGGCGCAACCGACGACTCATGATAGTAGAAGCAGACTAGAGACATCGTCACCGTAAGTGATCGCCCGTCATCTCAACAGGGCATTCGATTCTTGGCCCAATGAGCCATTCTAGTTGGGCGTTCAGGGTCAACGCTACGTATTTGATGCCCCGGAATATGGTACTGCACTTCCGTTTCTCTCACTCACCCCGCGATTGGGGCTGACAGGTCTCACTTTCTGGCCAGGGCATCCCGATGTGAGGCAACCCTGACTTGAAGATCATCAACCAGGGACGGGCCAGGGTTCCTCTCCGTCCTATTTGGAACTCTGAAAGCACTTTAAGTCGCAAAGAATGGGTGCGTTTTCCTGGCCTTTCATTGGTGATGATGCCGTTCTCTGCCCCGTTTCAGGCGACATGGGACGTCGAGTTTCAAGTTGTGTCGTGCCCACGAACGGGACGGGCTGGATCCGAACACAACTGCGGCACGAGGTTAAAGCTAGACCTTGCTCCGCAAGCTCAGTAGAGTAGTAGTAGCCAAGATAAATGCAAAAGTGTGGGTTAACGTGACCCGGGGTATTTGGAATGCGAGTCTCGCTATCGGGCTTGACATGCCTGGCGCATTGTCTTGCTTGGATATCAGCGGGTTTCGCATGCCATGGATGGCACTGGACGTACGACGCGCTGTTGCAGATGCGATTTACCGGGAGCTGTGAATCTGAGAAGCTTCTAGAGTCGATGACAAGTAGCATAGTCGGGAGACATGTCAGGCCAACTTGATCAACTGTGTATCGGTGCGCATGAGAACGGGGGATATGGTGCCGTGGGGTCGGCAGAAGACGCGGCTCTGCTGCCAATATTCCGTCCTACGTCACGCCCATTAAAGTGCTTCTATATGCTGCTGCTTTGGGTTACCAAGCATTGGTGTAAGAGCCAAATGGGGCCGGCGCAAGTTGCAGTGCAGAGTGTCCGTACCGTAGGCTTGGTAATCCCAAATGAGCCCCTGCAACGTCAACTCGATCCGCGTCTACTCGAGCGCCAGCCGCGTTCCGTGAATGCTGTACAGAAACTAACACCGGTAGCGATCGACATCAGCGGCAGAGAGATGCGGTTAAAAAGCATCCAGCTTTTCTCCAGCCAGCCCTGCCACATCCGTCAGGCAGTGGAAAGGCCAAGAAGGGGCCAGGATACCGTTCCTGAACCGTCCCACTGAAATGGGTCGTTGGCGGGGTTTCTCTCTGCAACAGCCATTTAGCGCACCTGGGACCTGGACAAGACCAAGGCGCCATCAAGAGCACCACGGGTGGGGGAATGGAGAACGTAGCAATCTATTCGAGGCGTCGGAAACCTGGGACGGATTGGGAAGAGTAGCGGTGCCAGGGAAGCCGGTAGATGAAGTCATTCTGATGAGGCGTGCATGGGCAACGTCTATGCAAGGTACAACGGCGCTGGCCCTGACATGTAGTTCGCAGAAAGGGCCGGTAGGTATCTGACGGCACCAACGGAAGAAATTGCACTTTGAAAGCGGCGGAATGCGATTCGACATTGTTGGTTCACTTGGTTGACAATGGCTGCAGGACTGTTTTTGTGGATGCGCGCGCCAAATTGAGGAAGCCTGAACCGACGCGTCGGCGCGTAAGCTGGTCCTCCATTCCTTGCTGATCAATTGGCTAAGACGCATTCTGGCCTGGCCTAGACTTTTGAATCCTCGCAAGCGTATTTTGCTAGCGTGAAGACCAGTGTATCCTCACTCCGCAGGCTTTGAACCTCTAACGGTAGGGCAAGATCGCCATGTCGTTCAGACAAAAAGCCGATTAGGTTTTGAGCCGTCTCGACGGTGGAGGCCATTGTAAGAAGGGTTGGAATGCGCATAAGGAGTCGAATGTGTGCCATTACCCATATTGGCCTGTCGATGTCCGCATGACCAGTGTCAACAGACGATATCAAAAAGATTCGCGATGCCAGCTTGGCGTGGATCGCACTGGATCCACGAGACCCTTGTAATAAACGTCGGGATATTTGCCATGCAATTGCTTGCTAGCACCTTTTGGTGGGATATGCTGCGTCATCCGCAGCGTTCCAGGCCGCCCGAAAGCCGCATGGCAACCGATGAGATCTGTGACAACGTCGTAGTCTGCGCAAGACTTATAAGCCTACCGCCTGGCCGTAGAAGTGCAGCTCTTCCGATGACACCAATCGCGACAACAACAGGCCGTACAGGTAGACGCCGCAATCTCACGTTATACCGGAGAGGTCTAAGGTACGGATAGGCCGTGTTGTCTCGGCCTGGTGGCCGGGGAAAGATTCCGTGTGACAGGGCTCGACCGTAGGTTGGGTTGAGGCCGAAGTGGCGTCCAGGCCGTTGAACTTATTAGGCTGGAACTCAATGGGTCCCAAAGAGATAATTACCGTCCGGGCCCGCCGCGTACAGGGGTCCTAACCAAGAGGCATTTGTTCAAGTGAGCTGTCCCTGATTGAGAAAAAGGAAGAACTCTGCTAGAGTGTGGCCGATAGATGGGGGGCACAGGATACCCCTTCTTCCTGCATTGCTCGGGATCACAAGGGAGCGAAGGAGTCTTTGCGTTAATCGATAAGGTGCCGCCATGAGTTTCCATCTCTTGACCAGTCCCCTGCGTCGCACTGCCATCCGGGGGAGCTCATCCAACTCTGCCAGAGACGGGATAAGCTGTTCAAGAGCGAGGTCAGTTCATGCAAAAGCAAGTGTCAAAAGCTCTTTGCTCTTGTCATTGGTTGTAAACTGATGTTTCGCATGGGGGCGTGCAAAGCTCAATCTGGCTTGAGGAGGGGTGTTTGCGAAAATCCAAAAAAGGTCTGTGTTTGAGTGGAGGTTTTGCCATGTGCGCGCCCAGGGAGACAGTGGCAAAGGCTGAGCAACCGCGGGGAGGATGCCCTCAGGGGATGGGGTCCAGGGTATGACAGTATTGACGGCAAGCGGCCCAACCGCTAGCCAGGCTTCTCGCTGTGCGATGTCGACTGCTGCGGCAGATTGGCTTGTTGATGGTTGAACAGCTCCAGCCCTTCTTGCGGTAAGCTGTAGAGAAGGACAAGACTATTGGAAAGCTGACAGCTATACGCTAAACGAGGGCGTCTCGGACGATAGCTGAGAAAGAAGGTGGATTCTAGTTTGTCGTCGAAGGGTAAAAGTCATGCTCGCTGACTGGTAGCTGTCTTGTATCCCCATCGCTAGCTGCTCTAGCGCCCTTGGATGAAATCCAGTGCCGTCGTCATAGGCACTACGCACCGAGTCTTGTGCTGCTATAGCTGGCCTGTCGCGACCCTTCACTGTCGTCCAGAGATTCGAGCTAGGTATGGTGCTTCGGCTCAGAGCCGGTGGCTGCCTCCAGCATGAGGCTTAGGGAGCAGAAGGGCGAGACACGCAGCTGCAAGCTGCGACTGGCACTCGAGCTGCTTGTCCCTGGGCCCTGAAATGACTATGCCGCACAAAGAATGCGACCAAAGGGATCCATCGGACGTTGACAACTGGACGTCCAACGTACCGAGAGCTGGCTCTCTGTGGTTCCGTTGAGTGGAAGGAGGACTGTATGGTGTAGAATCGGCTCTCGTGACATTTCCCGACTGCTATCTCCATGGCAGACTTTTGGGGGGTGATTTAAGCTTTCCATCTGAGGGTTGCTGCTGCTGGGCCACCACGCCCGCTGTGGTTTCGCGCAATGCCCGGTCCGTACGTAAGACGGTTTTAGTCTCTGTGCTCGTGGGCGACGGCTTCGATGTCTTCGGACTGGTCTGTCAGTCAACTGTCACCGGGTGCCTCCCGAACTTGCTGTTGCTGCGTTACCAGACGGAGCGATCTCTGACGGTGGCTGCTGTTCTAGCTGTGATGGTGTAAGTGTACTGCCAAGTGACGGTTGTCGGAGACTTGGTGCGCCAAAGGCTGTAACAAATGTAGACGAAGGTTGAAGAAGAAACATTCTCCTATGGATGGCATCCATGAACTTGAAGCACGGTTGATGGTCAGTAGCAGTGTCTCGCATAGCCTGGCAGCAGAGCATGCGAAAGGCAGGCGGCGCGGCACACAAGGTGACAGACACGGCGCACGAGGGCCTTTGCCCACATACTCCCGTGGCGAGACGCATGCCACCATCCATAGCCATCTGCAAGTTGACACCCTCGTTGGAGGGCAGGACACCCACCCGTAACCCTAGCGCAATTTACCCACCCACGCCCAGTGGGCAGACTGGACAGACGGGTACAGACCGGGGTGTCGGCGACCCTCGTCGGCGAGTCCCACCAGTCAAGCCCTCTCCAACCGTCTCCCCCTCGATTCGTCTGGTCTGGTGGGATTTGGGCCATGGGAGTCCATCCCGGGCGTTGGAGTGTGGTCATAGTGTGTATGTGTGTGTGTGTGTGTGTGTGTGCCGCAGCGCTCCGTAATGTAAAGTGAGTAAAGTAGGTGGTAGTGAGTACGGGGTACCCAGGCACCTTGGGCAGATGCTTGGTTGGGCGAACGAGCCTTTTCTACCCTCGTCCGTCCGCGCCGCTTTCTCTCGAGTCGCTTCCCTCACCTCCTCTCAACCCTCCAGGTCACTCGCAGCAAGTCCGCCGCACGCCGCACTTCAGCGCAATCTTTGCACTTGGTCGCGCATTCGAAAAGCTCAAGTTTGGAGTCTTGGACGACAGTCATTGATCGAGGAACGACGAGAAGTTGTGCATCTGCCAACCTCACATCCGACCCCTGCGACCCCGCCGAGTACCGTGTAGCCCGAGTTGAGTCGCGGGTCACCCTGTTTCGGAGGCCGAGAAAGAGAGAAGGATACAGCCGTCTTCCGAGTCCGAATAAGAAAGCAGAGGAGAGACAATCCCACGAAGTACTGCGCCAGCCCGATATCCAGTGGAAACGATTTTTCTTTTCTTCTTTTTGCTCCGTGTGAAGTAAGAAAATAAAAAAAAAAACGAAGCGGAAAACTCGGAAGGACATTGTCGAAACTGATCGCGTGGTAAAAGCGTATTGGAGAGACACACACAAACGGGCAGGCGAGAGAAAGATCGAAAAGTCGCACGGACAGAGCAGAAAGGAGCTGTGTAAGAAAAGAGAAAGGAAAGGCAAGGAAAGGAAACCTACGCCAAACACCGAGGCCGACGACGTCGAACAAGAAGACCTTGGGGAGGATAAAGAACATTCTCAAGAAGGAACCAACGACTTTTACCCGTCGATCTTTCCGCCTGCCGCACCATTTCTCAGCCCGTCGCTTTCCTTTCCAGAGAAAGCCCAACGGTCCACGGCAAGCACCACCACCACCACCACTCCGTGCCTTCCAAACCGCACCTCCCCCACGACTCAAGTAAGGAACGCAATCCGAAGGGAAAGTGCGACCCAGTCATCATCGCCCCTCCTTCCTTCCCGTTCGCACTGGCATCAGCCTGGTCCCGGTAACCTACCAGTCCCAATCAATCAATTCCCTCCCCCTCTCTCCTTCCCTCTGTCGAAGGGAAGAAAAAAAAAGGGAAAAAAAAAAAAAAGAAAACAAGCCATCAGTGGAAGGAACAACACTCTCAACTCAAACCCAACTAGCAACACCTCTCCTCCTTCATCTCTTGGAGAGAATCCCGCCCGGTATACACACACGAACCACAACAGCAACAGCAACTGGAATTGCAACGCTCATACTTGCACCACTTACTTTGCACCTTCAACAGACATCGACATTTGGGTCTCGTCTTGTCGCAGTGTCGCTTATAGTTGCACACTGATCCACGCAATCCACGCCCACCCCCTACGAAGACCCCCTGGTTTGCGCCCAATCACGCCTTGCCTTCCTTACTTTGCCTTGCCTTGCCTGGCGGAAGGAGCATTTCCCACCCAATTATCCCTATCTTCCCTCTCTCGACCTGACCTGACCTGACCTGCCTGCACCTGCCTAACATCAGTCAGTAGTCAGTCAGTCACTCAGTACCTAACCACCACTTCATACTTTCCCGTGTGGTGCAACAGGGCCCCCCGTCACCACTCCCACTTCAACTTCCTTTTCGCAACAGCATCGCACTTAATTCTTGCCAGAATCTGCAGCTGTCCTCTCCTCCCCAAAGTGAGGGAGCGTCACACAAGATGAAGGTTCGTCATCCTCCACACTCCTGCCTCCTGGTATCTGCTGTTGTGCAATCCTCTCTCTCTCTTTCTCTCTCTGCTTCTTGCATCGCATTTCCATCCATCTTCTTCCCCCTCTTCCCACCCCTATCAATAGTTTCTCTCCCTCTTTCCAGAAACCCAGTCGTGTGCGCGCGCATGTCACCACCACCACCAATACCAAACACCAAACACCACTCTTGTGTTCTTGCGATTCCTTCTCACAACTTCACATCCTCCCCAAAAAGAAACCGGTGCACAATCTTGCCTGCGCTCTGTTTCTACCTCTCTGTATCTCTGCCCTCAGCCCTTTTGCGACATTTTGCGCCCCCTTTCTCCCACTTTCCGCCGTATATGAACAACCCCGCATGCGCCCATGCTCATACCCACGATGAATCGCGAATCAATGTCCAGAAATCGGTTTTCCGATCACTTACTGACAGTCCCTCACCTTATGCAGGCCCTCCGTCGGTCCATCAAGGGCGAAAAGGATAATGCCAAAGTCAACATTGCCCCCAAGTCTGCTGTTGCTATTGTCCCCCCAAAGAAGGTATGTGCTGATAGATGCCTCAATCCCCATGCTGCCCCATGCGCCTTGGCCTCCACCACGCGCGTATGCGTATGGTGGGGGGAAAGCTGACAACTACGCAATCGCATTTACTCCGTATGCTGACCGCTGGAATCCACCTACCAGGTTATCCGAGCCCTATACGATTATGAAGCCCAGTCCAACCAAGAGCTGAGCTTTTCGCGCGGCGACTTCTTCCACGTCATCGGCAGAGAGAACGACCCCGACTGGTACGAAGCCTGCAACCCAGCACTGCCCGACGCCCGCGGCCTCGTACCTGTAGCCTTTTTCCAAGCATTAGGCCGAACCGAAAGAGATAGTGGCCAGTCTGACGGTGCTATGCCCCGGCCACCAACCATGTCTCCGACAATTTCCAAGAACCCCGATCACGATTCCGGCTATGCCGAGGCTGCGCCGCCTCCCGGCGCAATGCAATCACCACCCGCAACTCAGCCGACGCAGCGTATGTCTAGGTCCGGCAGCAGGTCCGGCGCGATGGTCTATGGTATCGTCATGTACGACTTTGTTGCAGAGCGCGCCGACGAGCTGGAGGCTAAGGCTGGTGAGGCCATCATCGTCATTGCTCAATCAAACCCCGA